CTTTCCCCTACTTCTGGTTTTCCACTTGCTGTTGTGATCCAATATTTGATTCACACCACCAATCATGGGGATAAAAGTAAGTCCTTGGCGCAGATCGTATGGAATTGAAAAAGTTCTCTTACTTCTCTCATCATCCTTGTTTACATGTAAAGTTAGCATTGCTCTAGTTAAGAAATAAAAATACTTATAGAAGATAAATGTTTAGGTTTTCAATCAAGATTTGCTGGACATTTAAGTAGATCTCAGTATGCCCCAAATACAAAAACACTTTAAACTGTCCACATTGAGACCGCTAAGACAACTCCAAGTTTAGGAAGTTGATCTTTCTTTGTAATATTTTAATTATCCTTTACCATTTGTATTGTTTTAATGGTGTTAATGTGGTATATTGTAAATTATTACCTTTTCCTCTTCCTAAGATAAACTTTCTCCTCTTATGTGCCCTCTTAGATGATTTTATTTAAATGTGTACCAGCTCTATCGTTGTCTGTACCTCGGCACCATAAGATGTTTTCGGACCAAACAGTTCTGGTGACTTTTTGAAGAGGAACTATCCACTGGGGAGTTCCCTGAGAACTACACACCATGGGGACTTTTTTTCCCCTCGTTCTCGACACCATGGTACCAACTCTGAAGCGAGGGCTAAAAAGGTTCCTCTAAACTGGGTTATAGGAGCTAAACTAGTTCATAGTCCCTGCGGTGCAGAATCAATAAAAAAGGGGGAAGGGTTCTAAAAGTTCCCAGAACTATATAAAAAAAGTTCCTGCTGCCTGAAAACGCCTGGTGTAAATGAGGGTTCTCTTTCAATGTGTTTTCTGAGGATTTAAGTTGAAATAAATGAATGAATGAAACCTAAGAGGATGGAGAACCTTTGACTTATGTGTACAAGTTTGGAGATAGATTTGACTCCCCTTGAGCTGCTCTAATTCTGTTTTTTAACACCTTAACCAACTTCGTCCCAAAAAAAAAAAAAACATTCATGCAGTTTTTAAATGACTCCATTTTTATTTGTGCATCTCAACTCTCACTTTGTAATTTTTCTCTCTGCAGGACGCCAGAAATATTTACAGGAACTCTGGAACTTGACTTGCATATCGACCTTAGGACAGTTGTTACTATGTTGGTTCCCTGGGCCACAGTGTGCGCCCTGCTCCTGAGGTAGTATATGTAGTAATGGTCTGAAATATTTTGGTTACAAACCTCCAGACAGATTTCAAGCAGACTGCAAGCAAGCGATAGTTCTCGCTATAGAATAACCGACCTTAGCATAGCGTTAGCATTTCTATTTAATATTGCAGACATTTAAACGATGTTACGCAGCCAAATTCCTGAGACTAGTCTAAAAGTCCATAAAGTTTTTAAAAAGAGGTAAGAGTGAGATTGTTGTTGTGAGATATTTATGGTTCAGAAGCCTATAACAGTCATGCAGTTACAAAAGACAACCATGTGAAGCCGCTGTCCTCTCATTACCCTCTTAAAGGTCAGTCATGCCTGTGAAATTTGCTGGTCTGATCGTCACGGTTTCTACGGATGCAGTGGGAAACGCAAATGCGCCAAGGGGACTTTTTAAGGTCCTTAGTAAGTTCCTGAGTTTAGTTCCTGATACGTTTTGGTTCGAAGTGGCCTTAAGATAAGTCTAAGAGGAAATCCAAGACTTTATAAATCAGTCAAATACTCGCATGTTTGTGCAGCCAACACCTGGTGGGGATAATGAGGTCACATATTTTTATTTTACCAATTTGTTACTGCCATATTTTTTGGGGACATTTATGTTTCATACAGAAATGCAGACAGGTACTAGATAATGGGGCATCATTTTAATTTGTGCAGTTTTCTACCAGGACTACTCTGTCATCTGGATTTATAATGGAACCAGGCAGGGTATCTGCAAACAAATGAACACTATGGCCTCGACAGGACAACAGGAGTACATGTAAACATAGCCAATGTTACTTTTCCAAATGGCTCTGGCTCAGCACAGTCCAGCCCTATACGTGTCCGCCGGCCCTGTCTTGAGCCTGGGTGCCATCCGCCCCCATCCCCCTTTATCCATCTCTCTCCCTCTGATTGTCTGTGCATTTATTTTGAGTCTGTACAGTTTTGCGAGGTGTGTGTGTGAGGTCCGGGTCATTCAAACACTGCAGCAAGTATATTGCTTTGATAAAAAGGCATCACTTCACAGAAAAAAAAAAAAAAAGAGAAAGAAATAAAACACAAGCAGTTTTTTTTTTTTCCGAGGAGTAGTGTGAAGCTTGAAAAAGCGAGATATACAAAGCAAATGTCTGTCACATTGCAAACGACAATACCATAGAGAGGCTTTCAGAACAACAACAAAAAAAGAGAGAACATACCGGCTAAAATAAAAGAAAGGAGAGAGCGCTACGTTTTCACAATCTCACCAGCTTCCTCAGTGTACCTCGCTGATGATAAATCATACTGTTTTTTTCTTTTTTTTTGGACTGGCCAACACTTGGCCTCCAAATCCCACCAGTTGGTCACAGTGGTGGGGTCTGACCCATATCTGATCCAGTACACATGCATACCTCTGCATGTGTACAGTATGTGTACAGGTATGCACTGTGTATGTGCATGTTTGTGTGTTAGTGTATATGCATGCCATCATAAGAGGGTGGTGGGCTGTTACACAACAGATCATGTTCTTCTCCTGCGTGTAACTTTACATTACAGTTCAATCTGCCGTTTTCCAAAACCCACCGTAGCACCATGACGCCACTGTTTCAACATCCAGACTCATGTTTTTTTTTTAGGGAGATGATAACAAACAGGGGAAAAAAAGAAGGTTAAAATCATCATGTGTTGGACGAGTGAGGGAGGCCACATGTCCAAGATGACATTTAGAACTGATGTAGGAGCTGCCAACACGGACAAGAGCACGAGACAGAGGGATGACTCTGTCGAGAGCTGCATGCACTAACTAGCGTAAATCAGTCAAGTGTTGGTATCGCTATGACCGCCCGGCAGGGATACGATAAGGAGGGCATCATTCACTTGGTTTTGGCACAGCACGTGGCATTGTTTCACAACACACGAGTACTACATGATTGTCTTGTCCTGACATCAGTGTCATTATGTGCTTTTAGTTAGTCCTGTCCGCTCTCTGGGAATGATGAACAAGCTCACTGTGATGCTACTGCTGCGTTCCTTTGAATGTCAGAAATCCTAAATCCTCAGCAAATAAAAATTTAACAACTCTCCCCCCCAGCAGTCCAATTTTAAAGAAAAGACCACAAGAACTTTTATAAGACAGAACATTAGGACCATGGAAGGAGTCAAATTTGCAACACCTGACTTACATTATAAGGGTCGTTAGATGTTTCTACACACAATATATCTCAATATTATGTTTTGTAATACTGTACTGATTCTCACTAACACTATTCATATTTAATATGAAACACATGTAAATAGACTTCCTTGTTTAAATTAACCAACAGAGTAGTGATATGGTGTTGGATGTTCCTGTGATATCAGTGAACTTAACTTTCATGCGTATTGTTTGTTCTTTCAGAGAAATATATCTGTACCATTGGACTGGTATATGACAATATATCACCTTTTTTAAACCTGACGATGAATCACAATAGACTGAATCATAACCCAAACCACAAGCTTTACAATAATATTGGATTGATCTGCAGATGTTTTTCTTAATTTCTTTTTAATGTTTGTCTGTAAAAGGGACACTTAAAGATAAGGATGTCGTCAAATAACCTACCAACCCTTCAAATAAGAAATACAGGCTATGTAATTACCCGTAAGACAAGGAAAGCAGAACAAATCAAGAGGATTATATTTTTGCTTGTAAAATGCCAATCACTTTTTAGCCAATCAACTATATATAATTTGTTGCGTATGCAGTTTTGCCCTTTATTTCAGAGTCTGGGTAGAAACTCTCTGTTAAAAAATATGCTTAATGTCACACATGTGACAAGCATCAACACTTCATTAAATATGATATTTGCCTTTTTGTCTCAAATTTGAGTTCATCTCCACGAGGAAGCCCTTTGGAAACAAACCATTAGCTTGAAATTTCACGTTCTTCTCTCGATTTCTTCCTGCCTTTGTGATATGTCACAGTGAGGTTATGAATTTAGCTTATTAGTGTGACAAATTATTTAAACTACGCTATGAAAACGTAATATACTTCTGAATTAGTAGATGTTTTTTTCTTCAAGACAGAGAAAAGTTCTGACAGCGGGGTCAGAAAAACTTTCTTCACATTCATTTGGTAGATGCTCTCGTCAAGAACAACAAGTATTTTACCGTATGGACTAAGAAATATAAGTTTAAAGGAAGAATGTGCAACATTTTGCACATAAATAAAGCAGAAATGAAGTAAATCCTGTGTAAATGTCTTTCTGAGTCATGACCGTCTACAATGAGGGAGAAGTGAGAGTCCCGCTGGCTGTACAGTTGTCAAGGACTAGAGAAAAGAAGAAGAACATGCTCACTGCTTGTTTGGATGTCATCTAAGTGTTTTTAGATCACGGTCATTCTGTAGCAATTTATGTGCAATATGAAGCCAAGAGTTAACCAAAGTGTGCTAACATTAGCATGCTAACACAACAATACAGAACACAGGTGATTGCAGCTCGAGCGAAGGACAATTTTGTCCGCCGCTTTAGCTTAACGGTGCTTAATTATGGTGCGTACTAATTGATGGCTCCATTGTGTAAGCGCGAGTGGACGGGGGTTGGAGGTGTGCCGCTGGAGGAGAGCGGAGGCTTCAGAATAGCGGAGGTGTGGCCAAACAGCAGTTTGTTTTAGTTTCATGCTGGTGCTCAAGGGCGACATCTACTGGATCAAAAAGTGGTACACTCTTCCTTTAACTAAGTATTATCCCAATTAAATTGATTCATTTGAAGGGTTGTTTTTCTTCTGCCATGGCCCCAATGTGCTGTCAAAGTGCACCAGCGAATACTGTCGAATTTCATTCTAACAGAACTTTAAGCAACAACAAAGAGAAGAACCGGACAGAATTATGGTCACTGATGAATGTTTTGTTTTCAGATTACAATTGAGTTAATCATCATTATCGTGTAGTGTCATCATTTCTTTGTTACTTTGTAGATGTGACGTCCAGTAACAAGACCTCAGAGAAGTTCATGTTTGACGACTCAGAGTTGCGCTTTGCGTTGCTGTCGTGTTGCTAAAATTAAGATTTTAGTCGGAACGCAGCCTTACAACTTGTTTTGTGTGGTAACCCAGAGACTCACACAGGCTCAGCAAGCTATGAGTGATGCTGCTAATGTAAATATGGTGAGAAACCGAGCGGTTCAGACGCACCGGATGGATGGTAGTTAATATCAACCAACAAATGGAGCAGATATAGTCGAGCAGGTGGGAGGAGAATGCTAACGGAATAGCTAACAATGTCTTTGTTTTGTGCATCAAGTGAGCAGCCAGTTTGAGTCTTTCAACATATTGGAAGGAAAATAGAACATCTGCATGGTTTCTACTGAATGAACACGTGTCGATAAAACCACCATTATGCCAACTGTACAATCATCGACACACACAAAAAAAAACCTAGAGTAAAATCCGAGGTGAGAGGTTATATCCACAACAATATCAACAACAAAACAAACAAAAAGAACAAAATGCTATTCACATGTACCCGCACTGTAAGGAATGGTTCCATACAAAACTAGACCAGAGAGCTACTCCTAAACTATGGAATGAAGTGACACTCAGTAGTGCTAATAGAAAGTTCATTTGTGACGGGCCTTCTGCTGGTTCCGACCCTGAGACCACCAGGGCTCCAGGGGCGCTGACGCATGTGCACACAACACATTCACACACATACATGCACGCAAACACACATACGCTTAAAATCCATTGGTCAGTCCTCGAAGACCTCCAGGAAGAGAGGAGGGAATAGCTCGGTGGGACACTCCACTTTCATATGGAGGAATCGGCTGGCGTGGCAGGCGCCGATCATCCGCAGGTCCGTCACCTTCATTAGCAGCTTGGGCCAGAAATGCGCCACTTTGTGTTTGCGGTAGTTGATGTAATGTTCAAAGGCGAGCAGGAACTCCTCTTGGCAGCGCTCGATTCGCTCCACGCTACTCAGGCCGGGCCGATCTAAAGGCAGAAAGATATATCGAGAGCGTTATTATTGATTGTCTTCTAAGAAGAGTCATCGCTGTTTATGTTCTGATGTGTCGAAGCCTAGGAGGCCTTGTCCGGGCAACAGAAGCCAGGCTCTAGAGTAGAAGGAGCTCTCCCAACCTTCAGCGAGCTGATCTGGCACTTCTACCACCCTGACGCATCAACCACAACCATCGGACTGTGTCGCCCCACAACCACCACCGTCCTCATTCATGGACGACCTGCTCCGACCTCCACTTCAGCGGCAAGGAAGTGTGGACAACAGGAACGTGAAAAAAGCGTCTCAAGATAACACTTGTTATGAATCGGCGCTATACAAATAATGATTGATTGCTCTACAAAGACGCTATGCTAATCCATCATGAGCACTATTAGCAACATTTAGCAAAGTTACAGTGGAGAGGAAAAACGTCCTTTTAAGAGGCAGAAACCTCGAGCAGGACCAGACTCATGATAAAACTGTGCTGTGAGGAGTTTAATGAGCAAGGTAGCATTGTTTATGTCCTGCTTGATATATCAACCACAGTGCTGGATATAACAGGATGCCCGTTATTTATCTGAGTGTGTGTGATATCAGGTAACTGTCCTGACAATGGGTGGGATGTTTCATTATAGAAAATAGTTTTTTTTTTTTTTATTTCTTACATAATTTCCTTTATTTAATAAACTTCACTGAAAGAAATACTTGCATCCACTTTCAATCCAAAGTGACCGGTTGAACCTTCCTGTCTTGGTTAAGTGTATTGATTGGACCCTGGTGGTGGCTGAATGTGTGTCAGAGGAGCAGACAGATGGGCAGGTTGTCCCCGTGTCATGTCTGCATGTACAACACAGCAGCAGCAGCAGAACAGTATTGATCTTCAATCAGATGTAGAGTACCAAACAGAGAAATGGTGCTGGAGAGGCTAGCTGGACAAAGAGCTCAGAATGATTAATGGTGATTCATTGATTGGACTGTAGGTTGGTATAGATTTCATGTCAGGGGAAATACTGTTCACACAATCTGTGCGGAGTTCATTGTTCTTTTTGTTGTTGTGTCCAAACGGATGATCAGCTGTTGCTTCAAAAGTATAAATAAAAATGTGTATATATATATATATATATATATATAAATATATAAATGTAATAGTTTGAGATATGGTCCATTGGATGAAAAATATGAGACTTAAACCAGCTTCATTACCAGAACTGAATGTGTAAAAATAAAATCAGATTGCTCACCAGATGAGAGCAGGATGACGGCCTGTAGAAGAGCCACCTCGGAGTCATCCAAGTTAAAAGAGGACAGCGATACGCCAAGATCGAAGATGGCGTCCGAGACCACGCCGAGGCCTCCGTTCTTAAGCTGTCCTCGCGTGACCGCCATCTCGCCGTTGAGCGTGAGGGTCTCACTCTCGGGATCATAGCGGACCGCCGCTCGCAGTGACATGATCTCCATGCAGCAGCCTTTCAACAGGATGATCTGATCTTCACAAGGCAGCTGATTTATAAAGAGATGGAAATGATGAGTGCAAAATACAAGCATGCACGCTTTTTAACGGCAGGGAAATTCATAGTTAAACACAGTTCAAATAAGAAACGGATAAACGTTACAATCCGCATAATCCAGCATAAAGAAGCGGAAAGAGTTATTATTGGCTTTACTTTAAATCCACTGTAACGGAACTGCAGGATTAGTAAGTCAAACAAGGTGCGAACAGCAGACAGCGCACCGTCTCTGCGGAGCCCAATGAACCCTCCACTCCCGGTCTACATTTTATGGAACATTTTTGAAACACAAAGGATCCACTCACCTCACAAAACATAGGCAGTTTTTTGGCAAAGTCCACCACTCGGGTTATGGCAGGGGTGATAATTTTTGTAAACTGACTGAAGGCTTCTATATCCACTTTGTTTCCTTCTGGTGCATTGACCATGGACGCTTGACCAATATCCTCTGGCTGAAATGCAGAGAAGTGAGGTCTGTGTTAGAAGAGTCTCCAAGTTTTGGATTCAACATTTCAAACCCTGACATTTCTCTACGAGGAGCTGTCAAGATTTACAACATCTGGGCCCTTTTTTTTTTTTTTACAAAGACGTGGGGGCAACAGGTGGTAATGGCTGCCACATAATCCTTGTTAGCAAACATGATAAAAGTTCTTCAACTCAAAGTTAAATTTTTTTTGGACTGACAGACTTTGATTCCAAGTGTCACAGAAATGATCCAGAGAGACAAAAACAGTTTTCATTCAAAGCTACTAGACTCCATTGTCAAAAACACAGAGTGCACAGGAGTCGCTGGTCAACCGCTGCCCTGATTGGTTAGTTTGTTAGTGTTACTCATTAGTTACAACTCCAAGCTTTCACAAAAAAACACAAACAAACCAATCAAGTGAGACGTTAGTAGACCGGCATATTCTGAGTTCTTCGAGCTAAAATGATTATTTTGGTCAACGGAGTCTGGTGGCTTTGAAAAATAACAATGTTAAGAATGTCCAAGGTAAAAAAAAAAACCCTCTTAGTCCATAGCAAAAATGTCTATGGCTAGCAATTGAAGTATTGGGTTTTTTGTCACAAGCTTTGAATAACAGATTATGTAGCAGTCATTACAGACATCATTATAATGTATTTTAGGGCTCATGTCAAAAAAATACTTTTACTAGCATGTTAAATTTAGTATTATGTGTAAAGTTCAAGGGAAAAATAAAGTGTAAAGCATCAGTGCTCAAATAAGAAAATGTATTTTTCTGGGATGTATACATATGGACGCATCTTTACAGACACACAGCAGCAACATTTTGACTGCACTTCAGTGTGTTGCGCATGTTAATGACTGTTAATTAATCTAAGCATGACAGAAGACTGTAACGAGGCAGTACATCGGTTTTTAAAGACATTACTCGTTGGCTGTTTCTTACCTTAGTTTCCTTCACCCCCGCTGCACTCTGGTCAGAAGTATAGAATAAATTACATGTTATTTCATTAAGAAGCATTGCTTCCTCGACCTGTTGGATAATCAACAGGAATCGTGAAGTTTCAATGAAGAACCCGTGTCAAGCCAACTAAAAAGAAAACAAGTTAAAACTGAGGACAGATGAAAGAGTGCAGATAGAAAACAGGTGAGGAGAGAAATCCAAGATGGGTTTCTGTGGCGAGATTCAGACTCAGGACCACGACGGCAAACAGGTCCGAAGAAAACACGCGAACGGATACCGACAGCCCGTAGAATATTTCATCATAACATATTACGACTTCTTAAGCAAACAGAGTGAATTTAAAGAGAAACTTTAAACCGGTTTTTAAACGCTTGAAAGAGAATCGACCACTCAAACGCTTTTTGTATCTTTCATAATACATTTTTTAAAATGTACAAAAAAAAAAAGATGAATTAAAAACCAGCTGCTTACGTGATGACGGCGTTTTTTTGTCATGGGATATTTCTGATAAGCTTCCCATTCAATGTGGTACAAGTCGTCACAAACACTTGAGTGACGATTGGCAACATGGAAATTTATTATTTTTTCATAAATTACCAACCACTACTTACGCACACCAAAACCTAAAATTTTTCTTTTAATTTTACATATTTTTGACATGTTTTTCCAAATATGTGAAATCGTGATGCATGATGCAAATGAAGCAGAAATTGGCAGAAATAAGCTACATCAAACGATCGACATCATCCCAAAGTAGTTTATTATTTATCTTAAATGACCAACGACTAATCAGAACATTTTAAAGATGTGAACCCAAAGTTATAGAGAACTTTGTCTAAAAACCAAAGGTAACGTTGATCAACGTGCGCAAAGAGGTTAAATTGATCCGACGATGTTCTTGGTCAGGTTGCCGCATTCTGGGAAAAACTGTAAGGAAAATGTCCCGCCATCACGAGTGTTGGATCTGATCGTGCCACAGAAACCCAAGATTAAGCCAACAGCTGAGACAGACTTTCAATCTGGACAGAGCGTTTAGACTTCACAGAAGAAAGAAGAAACAAAATTAGTCAAAAAAAGAGGGTGAGGTGTGAAATCAAAAGCTACAATCAGAAAGAGAGAAAAATGAAAAAACAGCACGAAAAAAGCAAGTTATTAGTGTTAGCGATTAAGCGGCACAGCTCGGTATAAGACATCGGGAAAAACACACAATAAGATGTTCCATTTCTAAATTAGTGCTGCTGAGTTGAGGAACACACTTTTCTCCATCGTCCAGCTAATTCTCCCCACTCTACAAGGAGATACAAAAAAACACATGGACATATTAACACAGGGAACAGTGGAACAGTGTTGGTGGAGGAGGTGGAGGAGGAGACAGTGGAAAAGGGGGTCTGTGAGGGGCGGGAGGGGGGAGGTCGGGGTGGATTGGATAAGGCAGGGTAATCAATACAATGGAGGCTGTGTTGAAGAGGGAGGCGGGGAGGATATCTCACCAGGAATTTCCGTTTCTGCTTCCAGTGGTTGCCCTGCGCGTTTGTGGACATATGGGCCTCAGTCACCATACGGATGAGGTCCCACTCCTCCTGGGTGGGCTCCAGTCGGTCCCACACCGTCTTCTGCAGCTCCTCCCGCCGACGGCGCTCTCGGTTCTCCTCGATTAGCTTCCGCTTGGCCAGCCTCTTGCTGTTGTCCAACACCACTGACAGGGGGGAAAGGAGGAGGAGAAGGGGGGGGGGGGGGGGGCAGGAGAAGGAAGACAGAGACAATGAGAGTGGACAGGAATGAGAAGGAGGAGGAGGACAATGAAGTGAGGCAGCTGAAATCTCAGACAACAGTTCAAACACTTCAGAATAAAATCAGGTGACGTCAAACTTGAAATGGTTTTCTTTAGGAACCAAATTTTACATCTTAGGCTAACTCTTAAAAGTTATTTTTTTTAATCTCCTAGCCTTTAAGCTGGCATGAGAGTTGTGTGCATGGTCTCTGTCTTTCTGATTTTTATTTTTTAATACTGTGTTTTGGATGTCTTTGACAGACATTTATGTCCTTTAAAAATTGTATTTCACAGTTTTCTAATGTTAAGAGTTTTATGAATGTAATGTCTTTTTATTTCTGCTGTTTAAATCCACTGTGCTGCACTCTGGTCAACTTTGTGATTTTTAAGATGTTCTGTATAAATAAAGTGGATTGATTGGATTAAGCATGCTACTTTGAATTCTTTAATAGTCACAACTCCCACTCTCTCTAATAGAATAAATTATTTGGAGAATCAGACGCTGACTGCGGGCTTGAAATAAATCTGTTCATAACACATAAAGGTCAAGAGCTCTCTGAAGTCAGACACAAGCACCTCTGGGAGATTAAGATGGTGACAGTGTATGTTTAAAAAAGTCATCGCTAACAGAGGTGAAATCATTGTGACAGGATTACTTAAGCTTTAAAGACACTGTTGACTTTCTTTTTGATTCTTGTTAAATTGGTATTTGTTTTGTGGGAGGAGCTCTGCGGTTTCAGGGTCGTCAGAATCAGCCTCTCGCTATTTCATTCAGCGTGAATAAAATAAATCAAAGTGAGACATCGCTCTGCTCTAAACGCGAACATGCGAAAGAAAACAAGCTGCCATCATGTGTCCTGTCCGCAGCATAATGCCACTCAAATCTAATTAACCTGGATTAGCAGTGATCTGAACGACTTTATGAAGACGTCTTCGAGGTGCCTTCTCTTCGCTTCAATCGTTTCTCAACAGGAACTTTAACCGGTTAAAATTCAGAGTTAGAAAAGAAATACAGCTGTGCTTTATTTTAACATTATTATTAAGTGAAAAAGAGAGTGTAAAGAAAGTCCTATGAGCTCAAATAAAAAGGAAATCGTGCTAATTTAAGAGTCAAGGGATGTCGGCCTATGTTCTATGCAGGTACAAACTACACATGGTAATGTGTTTTTGTTTGCATGAATACGACAGAGAAATATGCAACAGTGTGAACATCTCTTCAGGTGTTTAAAGTCAAGCGTCCCCAGATGACACACAGCATGTAGGCCTTCTGCCGGACGACCCTGTCCCAGTTTAACCCCATCCTATCCACTGTTATTGGATTAAGATGACAATAATGCATCTGTTTACACAACAGCCTTTTTCTCGGTCTTTACTACAAAGTCTTCAAGTATGCCACATTGTTTTTTCCCTTTTGATAATCTCTTGACTGAATATGGGACGGAAATATCAAACGGCAAATATCTATCTGCAGTCCCTGAGCTCTCAGCATAAGATGCAACATCTCTGACGACCTCGTCTTTGCCGTTCAAACTTACGATCTGTTGCCATCCCCACCGCGATGCACTTCTTGAAGCGACATTCCTGGCACTGGTTTCTGGTCACTTTGTCGATGATGCATTTCCCCTCGTACTTACACGCGTAGGTTGGGTTGAGGTTCTTCTGGATCGTCCGCCTGAAGAAGCCCTAAGAGGAAGGAGACAGCGACAAGCATGCACGCTCAGAAATGACCCCACAAACCACACTGAATTGACTGGAAAAAAAAATCAAAAAAATCTTGCATGCCACAGTTGTGTTACCTTGCAACCTTCACAGGTAATGCAGCGATAGTGATAGCCTGTGGCTTTGTCCCCGCACACTACACATAGCTCATCCTTGTCCAGGTAACTTGGAATGTACCCTAAAGAGAAGAGCAGGTGAGCAATAAGATTTTATGAAAAAAAAAAAAAAAAAAGATAACGTCTTTACTGCTGTTTTGTGATCCAGGGGGACTCATTTAGATGTGTTGATGATGACCTTTGACCCACCCAATTTAGGAATTTGAATATTAATATCAGTTTTGGGATTTCTGTAATCTTAAATACACATTATGTTTGAACTATTTGTATGATTGTCTTCTCTGTGTTGTGAAGCTGATACTGCAGCAGTGAATGGGGCTCAGAGAGAAGCTAACAGGCTAAATGTAAACCGTGTGGACGTCAAGTTCAGCGACGGCTCTGTTGTTTTTTCGGTTTGTAAAAACTAGCACAGCCTGGAGACTAAACCACTTTGAAACGTCGCACAGGGAGATTTAAAAGTTGGCTGACTTTTGCACACTTCACATTTGATTAGCATGACTTCCATAGAAAGACACAGTTGCTTCTTGTAAACTCTCCGGGTTAACACCTGGCCCCGTTTTGGGATTTGGCTTAATGAGTTCAGTGCTTTGACCTCTGGCAGACTCCGGGGTCAACAAGCTGATCAATACCTTTTTTTGGAGGGGGTTTGTTGAGGAAGCAATGATTTTTCATGCGTAGGCCTTCTGTTGCCCCACAATCAATCAATAAGGAACCCCCCACACCCGGCCCACTCAAACACTCACGCAAACACTTGGAGCATCAGATGCAACAAGTCCTGCTCACAGACGTGTTGCCGCATGGCGCCTTAAATCTTGGATTTGCGCTTATCGTACTTAATTTGGAAATCCCAGACATCACTGACGCATTAATCAAGCAGCGAGTCATTGCTAATTATCAAAAATGGAAAACAAAGGTCTGAAACATGTTCTCTTCATACAACCCAAAGAGACAACCACGAAACATCAGAGTCAACGTCATCAATCGACTAAAAACTAAAAACTTTTCACGACTGAAATCAAAGATCAAAACGACCTTTTCAACGAAGAAGATTCAAACATCGACCAATCAGACGTCGTACCTTTCTTGTGCGCGCCCTGCATCCACTGCAGGTGTGAGTACTCAGGTTTGATCTCAGGGAAATACTCAGGCTGATGGTGGAAGTGACTCAGAGGGACCTCCATGCTGCAAAACTCGCTTTTAAAAGGCGGCGGGCCACCAGCGTACGAGCATGAGTAGTGCTGGCTGGGCGGCCATGTCTGCTCCATGCAGGGCGGGTGGTGCAGCGGCTGGGGCTCACAGTGTCCGTACCCGGGCCCCTCACCTGGATACATGCAGTGCTCTCCACCACCCTGCACCGGATAGCCTCCCACCCCGGGGTGAGGCATCTCATACATGTCTGGGATGCAGTAGTTCATCATGGAGAGCCACAAACGATAACCATAAAAAAAAGTTGTGGCTCAACCCTGACAACTATAACGCGCTCAAAAAAAGAGATCCAATTAAAAAGAAAAGAGCATCAAGATGTCAGAATATGACGATACGGAGTTTCCAACCTCACACAGGTGAAGGTCTCCTGAGTGGACTCACAAGTGTTTCATGCAGCAAATCCACAGCCCACAGACTTCACCTAGAAGATGCCCCACCCGCCACTACCCGGCCAAATTGGGAAGCAGAGCTTTATGACGACGAAGAGCTCTAATCTTACACTCCACAAATCCTCAATGTGCCACAGACAGTGGCAATGTCACAGATTAAGACCTCACCTAGAAACTGTAAACACCATCCAATAACATCAAGTGGGAGGGAGCGAACTTTTCTGTGAGTTTACAGAAAAACCTTCAAACACTTTTTCATCCTGTGGACCCCAGTCATCATATCAGGTCAGAATTAGTCGTTCACTTAACCCTGAAGCCCCTGACCTCTGGACCTCTGTTTCTTAACCAACGCACTGATTCTCCGGGTATTTCCACAGAATCCACAAACAGGCAGGCCAGAGGCCAGAGCTCCGAGCTGTACAATTATTCCTGCCAACTATCTGCTGAACTTTATGACACTGAGGAGATTTCAGGAAGGGTTTTGTGTTTAACTCACACAACCCGACTTTTAACCATTAGGGACCGGATCGAGCAGATCATGTATTTATCCAAGAATGAGCCGCTGTGTTAACTACGTTATTTATATTTGGGAATTAGAGACAATAAATAACAGATTACTGTCAAATCGAATTAAGAGCAAGCACTGTAATTATCTACATCTTTTATAACGTGCTTATAATTAAATATTTTAGCACTGATTATATAAGAAACACCACGATGGATTTAAAATACTCCAGATCAAAACATAAAACAGGCAAAAAGTATTTTGTTCTTAAAAACACATTAAATAAATCCTTCAAAATAAAACTAGTCTTACAAATATGTCCACCGTCTAATTACCTCCTGGTAAATAAATCCTTCAAAATGAAACTATTCTCGCAAATAACTTCACGATGTAATTACTTTCTGGTAGATAAACATTTCAAAACAAAACTAGTCCCACAAATAACTTCATGATTAAATTACCTCCTGGTAAAAGAAAAATGTCAAACTAAAAAGATTCTCACAAATAACTTCATGATTGAATTACCTTTTTGTAAAGAAATCCTTCAAAATAAAACTATTCTCAAAAATAATTTCAAGATTTAATTACATACTCATAAGGAACATTTTCAAAATAAAAATATTCTCACAAATAACTTCATGGTTTAATTACCCCCTGGAATAAGAACGTGTTCAATTTGCTAAATCAATACTGTTTCCCTCTCAGTTCGAGACACGCGAGCGACACGCTGAGCCACACATTGCGTGATCTGTTTCACATAATACACCTATTATCCCACAGACACGGGCTAGAATCAGCCATATTGATTAGGCTTTCTTGTTCAATACAGACCTAAGGGGATAAGCCTTATGGCATGAGCGTGCGTCTTTTTAGGATCCATAATGCTGTCCTCAATCATTTCACACACACCCCGTTTAGAACAACCTGTTGTTGTGCTTCAGGATGCGACTGATGCAACTTTATAATAAATGTTCAAAGAAAAACAAAGAAAAGGCAGAACAGAAAACTAACAACAAAAGCTTGTTTGTGTTCATGTGAACTTAGGGTTTGACATAAATCTGCACAAACTAGTTAACACCAAACAAACTCTTTACTCCAGCCTGTAAAATCAGATTTATTGTCTTGATCAGTTTTGAATTTTGTGAATTTCAGAGTTTGGATTTACTTGTTAGAGTTTTTCTCATTCTTCCCTTTTGTTCCCTACTTTAGTCTTTAGTGTTTCCTGTTTTATTTTGTAATTTCTTATTGTCAGGGCCAGATAAGAACATGGATTATTTATGGTTAATCAATTCAAATGAGCCAAACATGAATGCATTAGAATGATTTGTTTATTTTATTGTTCATTTGGGCTTATTTTGGTTTTAGCTTTTGAGAATTGATTCTGGGTATTTGTGCCTCATTCCTCCCTCTTTGGAGACCCTAACCCTGCATATAGGTGGGGGTAATTTAAGGTGATTAATGACACCTGGGGGAAACGGTTGAGAGTGAGAAGAGGATTTTTTTTTACTTTGTCAAGTTTAATTTTTGCTGGAAGTTTTCAGTTAATAATTCATAAGTTGACTTTGGATCCTCGGCTGCTTTTTGTTTTTTTGAAAGCGTGTGTTAAACCTGCTCAGCTTACCTGGAGGTTTTCTTTGAAACCATAACTCTTATCCTCATGTTTCTCTCTGTTCTGGTGTGTTTTGTTACAGTCTTCTCTGTGTGTCTGTAGTGTTTCCTGTTTTACTGTGTCATTTTTGTCCCCAGTGTTTCTTGTATTTCTCCCTGCCTCTGTGTGTTTCCCTCCAGGTTTGATCGCCCTCACTGTCTTCACCTGTGTCGTTGGTCTCACCTGTGTCTGATTACCTCTGTGTGTATTTACTTTGTGTGTATTTACTCTCTGCGTTCCCTTCCTCCTGTGGTCAGATTTTCCCCGTGGTTTTACGTCTTCTTCACCGTGCTTCCTTGTGACTCCCAGTTTTCTCTTTCTTGCTCTTCGTTGGACATTTGTAGATTTGAATCTAGTAAGTTTTTGTTTGTTTTCTTTTCTGCACGTTTCCTCCATTTAAATAATAAATAAATAAATAATAAATGTGACACTTGTGTTTTTAGAACTGAGAATGATTTCTATGTTCAGAATAAATTATATAAGGTGGTGTTAGGGGATAAATGGCATTACAAATTTATAATCAAAGAAACAACGACCAGAAGGGCGATCGATTAGAGCTACATCATCAAGTTTGTTCTGTTTGATCTGGATCTATATCTATCTAGATGAAAAAAAACAAAAGAAACATAAATTTAAAAAAAAAAGAAGAACACTGAGTCACACAGGTCGGATAATGTCTCCTTTCATCTTGTTGACGTTTTATCTTTTATTTATTACTCCTTCATTCTTTTGCTTTCAGTCCTGCCTGTTCCTTCTTTTCTTATTCCTGTATCTGTTGACGTCTGTTCTATCGTCGTCATGACTCCCTGTCATTGCACTTTGTTAATATTTGATTTTTAAAAGGTCCTTTATAAAACATTTATAATTATGTTATTAATACCATAACTGTTTCATACTCCTACTAGTACACACTGTTATATTTCTTACCCTAGTCTACTTATTTCTATATTTATTCACTTTTCTCTCTATCCATTTGTTGTTTTAATTGTTCATTTAATTGACATCTGCATGTTTTCTATATCTATTATTGTATCTTATGTTTACATATGTATTAGATATTTACATCTTTATTACATATAAATTATATATTTTATTCCCAATACTTACATATGTTTATATCTTATTCTCATATTTTTTATCTTTATGCTTGTACTGTATATATATTTTATATTTATATCTACATCTGTACGTTGATATTCTGTGTAGCAGATTTTATAACGCCCCAGTTCCCCCCCTCACAGGGATTGATGAAGTATTCCTGAATCTGATTATTAAGTGATTTATTTTCCTACATAAACATTTATATTAATAAGA